CTTCTCCCCCCGGGCCGCAGCAAAATTTTCCAAGTCTTCACCGGTCCGTGGTAATAAAAAGGTTGGGGACCACTGGTCTAGATGGTATGAGAAGCATCACAAAATGTGCTTCTTCCCTTTTATACCCATTTAAAATGAGTTTTTAGATAAAACAACAGATGTGGGAAGATCGCTGTGATGGCAGCTGCAGTGTCATGGCAGGGGTGTCCAAACTTTTTGGGCCAAAAGCATCAAGTCAGAAGTCCTTGCGGGCCAAAAAAACCCCAAAAACCTAAAAAACAAAACTCAAGCAAGTATAGTAAAGAGATGCTGTTTGTTGTCGATCCAAAAATCTAAAAAGGATTTTGCAGGTTTGCTGTAATTGAAAGATATGTCTCTAGTTTTCAATTTTTATTTTTGTTTGGCTGAACTAAACACATTTTATACAGGATTTGGGTCACTTTCTTTCAAAATGGTTGCTATATTTAACCAAGTAAAAAAAAAAATTAGATTAACGCCGATTTGGGTGCAGCAAAGTTGCCACTTCAGTAAAAGCTTGGTTATACAAACACTGATACTTTATCTTGTACTTAACACTTTACATTGTCAGAAAATCTCGTTGGTTATAATTTTACTCTTATCCCAAATAAAAAGCTTTCATCTGCATCAACCCTTTGTGCTGGACGGGACAAACTTGTATCATTCTTGAATTGCATTTTTGGGGCCTGCACAAAATCAGTCCAAGGGTCACAAATGGCCAACCAGGCCGCACTTCAGACACCCCTGATCCAAGGAAACCATGGAGCTGGTTTAACAAAAATGGCGCAGTATAAAATATTCCTATCTCTACCTACCGCCAGAATAAGTGAAGAACAAAGAAGATAGTTCATCACAGCATGCTCACATCTCTACTGGTTTCACCAGGCCTCATTATTATCAACGGGAACACAATAATGCATATTAAGGATGAAAGATGTAAAAAAAAAAAAAAAAATGACATTATGCATACATATATGAGAGGCTGGTTAAAATCTTTTATCCTTGCTGTTGGGAGAGTGTATATTTATGTTCTGTGAGGGTTACCATTGCACCTTGTATTAAACTGGCCTGGAGGTGTATTGTCAGGGAATATAAGAGAGAGGCTTTGGGGGGCTTGCAGAGAGAGAGAGAGAGAGAGAAAGATAGGATTGTAAAAGAGAGCAGAGGTTATTTAATGATGAGAGCAGTGTAATTACCTCCCAGTGAGGTTCAGCCTTTTAGATGGATGATTATTCAAGGGGAGAAATCTCATTTGCATCTTGTACAGTAATATATAAAAGTGTTCATTCTACACTAAATTAAATCGCCATGTAGGGTTTTTTTTTTCTCTCATTACAGGAAGTCCTTTTTTTTTTTTTTTTTCCCCCATCAGGTGAATTATGGTTTCACATCTAGCTGAATTTAACTGTAACCACAAAGAACATGATAGTGTTTCCACATCCAGCAGATTTTCTGCTTCCTCTTGTCTCTTGCGCTTAACTCGCAAATCATTAACAAGGTGCCAGACGTTATGAGATGCCACAGAGCGAAACCGTGTCAGGGCCTTGTTGTAGCTCGCTAAGGAGGGGCATGGAGTATGGCTGTGAATAAACCTGTTCTTGCCATAATTATCCAGATATCTGCTGCACTCGCACTTGCAATTCGCTTACCTTAGTCTCTCTTTAACGCGGCGGTTGCCGTTTCGGATTCCACGCCGCTCTCGCAGACACGTGGCTCAGCTCGACGAGCGCTCTGCTGGCTGTCGGTCCCTTCAAAGTATGAAATCATGGACCTTGCTTTCATTCCCCGCACTACCAATTATAGTAGGAGTGAAATAGCATGGACTGAGTGTAATGATGGCAATCGAAGCTGCTTGGGGTGACGAGCCAAAGTTTCTTCTTGTTACCCTGCGTTGCTGCATAGCACACGGAGACGAATACAATGAAATGGAGCGCATAAGAATACCAATAACTTAAAAGTGACTTAAGTAGAAGTAAAAGAGGCGTGGTGACAGATTAAACTAAAAGAGAGAGAATGACTGACAGAACAGCCGTCTGTTGAACTTCATGCTTATTTGGCTTGCATTGAGCCTCTCTCCTCCCCGACCCCCCTTTCCTCGGCCGACTTGCGGGTCAGCTGGGACCGATAGCTCGCGCTGATGTTTTTTTGGCTGACAGATGGGCGCAGGTACCGACACTGGTGCAGCCTGGAAAAGGATTCTCCATGCCTCTGTGTGCTGCCACAGCCATTTTACCCAGCTGTCAGTCACAGACAGCACGGTTGACGTTATCAGTTGTACCGCTCTTAGCTGGTGGAGGTCTGCTGCCGGGAAGGAGTCAGATGGCAAAAGAGAGTGAGAGAGGGAGGCGGTGGTGGTGGTGCTGGGGGGCCCTGTGGGGTAGAAATATAAATTGAATTGGTGAGAGTGAGGGCAAAGAAGATTTTGGGACGGACTAAATAAAACACGATGACTGAGGGCAGGGGAATAATAATGAGAGAATTATAGTCAGCATGTAAATTTGACTCAGATTAAATCATTTTAATGCTATCAAAATAAATTTATGTTTCATGACCTGTCAATGAGAACAATGCTGTCTGAAGATGAATCCTAATTTTTTTTTTTTCTGTGAGAATTTTACACAGCATTCAGAAAGAAGAAAACACCTCTTGGGCTAATGTTAATCAATGTCGTCTTATCACTGGAAAGGAAATGATAAAAACAAAGGCTGGTTTAGACGTGACACAGTGATTGATTGAAAGTCAAAGTGGAATTTAAGCTCTTTTTTTTCAGTAAAAACTAAGCACACTGAAACCCTAAGAGACATCACACATTTGTTTAATCCTCAAATACCCAGAGGAGGATTGACCGGAAGGTCTAAGCAGGCATCTTAGCACAGACATGTTGGAGGAGAAGAACTTGGGAAAAAGTTCTCATGAGACAAACACCCAAAGGATCTGCCCATATTCACATGTGCATCAGAACAACTCCTGTTTCATTTTCAGCTTAGGGGACCGTAGCTGCGTGTCCATGCAGCTTGGAAGCATTTTGTTCCTTCAGCTTGTGTCGATTCAGAGAAATATTTTTTTAAAAAGGACGGTGGTGGTGGTCTGCTTTTTGTTGGGTTTGGATGTACATCATTTTGGTCATTAGTGCACAGAGGTCGTTCTTAGGAAAAGCTACTAAAGGTTTAAACAGGGGCCAGGACTTTAACAAAAATCATTACGATTAATTAATTTCACAGATTTTAACTCATTAAGAGTTTGTAGAAAATAAAGCGCTTTTTTATTTTCCACATATTTTCTGGCTGTATAAAAAAAGGTTCCAGCCGGAACATTTGTATTTGCGTGTTTCTGATAACGCCAATAAATCTGACACACAACAAGCGACCTGCTCAAACACACAAGACACAGCTGCTTCTCTTGTTTCAATGGGAATTAAATTTTGTTTAAACAAAAAAAAAAAAAAAAACAACAATCTGATGGGACGATGGAACGGTTATTTTTGTGTGCAGGTTTTGCAAGAGAGAGTTGGTCTATCACTGAAGCTATTCAAGGCTAAAATATCATTTCATTGCAAAATATATTGCAGAAAGCGCAGACCTCCTCAGCAATATTGTCAGCACCCACAGTCGACAATACAAAAGAAGTTACATGAATAATCAGGAGTTAATAAAACACTTCAAAACTCAACAGGTACAATGACACTTTGCACCAATCTGATGGCCGGGTAATCTGAATAACAGATTAAATACAATGAATATGTTTGTTGTTGAGCTAATGTGTCTATTTGTATTCAATAATTTAGCAGCAAACAGGGTTTTTGATTTGAAAATGTTTATTTTGTTTAAATATGATGTTGTTTTTATTAAAATGCAATTAATTGTCATTAATCAATTACAGACTTTGCAATTAGTTAATTGCAAACAATGGGCTAAAGGCAATCTGAAATAAGCCAATTAGTCATTCCTCTGTGATGCCCAAGTTCTCTTTACGTCCCTAGTAAACAAGAATATTCTAAAGATGGTTCCTAAGCCTTCTTTCTTCCTCTTCGTCTCAGTTAGAGATTTACAAGGCAAGTTATGACAGCACACAGTAATGACAGCCATCTATTACGCCTGCCAACGAACAGCAAGAATCGAATCTACCACAGAACAAAGATGCTATTTATAATCGTTTTGTGTGTGTTTGTGTGTGTGCGTGCATTGAAATTCGCTTGTCATTGCCAAATGTGATTGTGGTACAATAAGTCTATCTGCTCGATTTATTGCCGTCGGTGATAAGATCTTGAGGATGAGAAGACTTTTATTGGAAGCACATTAAGAAAATAAACATCCATAAAAGAAGTGGTTTCAATCACTCAGAGATGAATTGCATGGACGCATGATTAAGAGATATGTTCCTGAACAGAAATCGGAGAAAATAATGAAAGGAAAAGAAATAATAATAATAATAATAATAATAATAATAATAATAAAAGCTCCTTGAGTCTGAGCATCTAAAAGAGAATGGCAGGAAAAGAGGAAAAATGAAGATGTAAGGGGGGGAAAAAAGCAGCAAAGAAGTTACTTAAAAGTGCACATGGATCAATAGATATGGATGTGAATGGGGGGTCTTAAATAAGGCTCTCACTTGTGTCCTCAGATCCTGTTTCACAAAGAAACTCAAACTCTGCAGATCAATACCCAGCTCATCTCTCTCTGGCCCCTGTCCTGTACAGCCTTTAGCCACTGGCTCCTCTTGAATGTGTGCCTGTTTTGTCTCTTGCGGGACTTGAAACCTAGTCAAGCAGTCTCTGTATCTCTCAGCTCCCTGGCTCAGTCTGCATGTGAAAAACCTTTGCTCAACTGATACTTGGTCATCCATTTTCCCAATGAAGCAGCCATCATTCCGATCAGAGACGGACAGACGCGTGCAAAGATTGTGCACACTTAAATAAATCTGCCATTTACAGACCTGCTTCAGATTCCCTCTTCCAGTGCTTTTTGCTTTAAACAAGCCAGCCAAGCCAAGAGCTATTGTGAAAAATAGCTTTTTTCCCAATTTTTGTACGTCTGCTTTGATTTCTACTGGTTCTTGACAGCAAAAGA